TTCAATTAACCATGGACGTCGTCCCCGGTATCAAGCCGACTCATCTTAATTAATTATACATACACTAACGTAGCTGTTCTCCCAAAATGTGAATCGCGGAACAGTTTTCGGTGAATTTAGATAAATAATTCTGAATTTCTTTGGCAATCAACTAATTACTAACAATTACATATATTTAGTTTTCATTTTTTCGTTCCCATATTAAATTCTTCTAAGATTTTCTTTTATCTTCCTCCTTTCCTTTTTTCAAACTCTTTGAAAGAAATCATATCGAGGTATTTCCTGCTTTCAGTTCACGAATTTCGTGGCCTGACTAAATAAAAAATGTTGCAACGTCATGGAAATATTTAAGGCATGCCTCGTGCGCAAGCGATTCAATGAGATAAACGCCCAGCTATATTTTGAATAATTAAATCTTTTCTTTATTAAACAAAGTCTCTAAGGGGAGTTAATTTATCATGAAATGTTATCATAAACATTAATTTTTCCATTACCATTCTGCTTTTCCATTCTGAAATGCTCATTTAAAGTATACGATTTTATGCTCCATACCTCTTAATTTCTGAAGGGAATCATTCTTAAACGAGTCAGCTTATTTAGGAAGCCTCTGTAAATTATTTCGTACAGCGCAATTTCAGAAAAATAAGAATGTAATGAGAATTATTAAATTAGCGTGTAAATTTTAAAATATGGGGTATTAAATATAACGTCGAAATTTTCTTTAATTCTAACCTATTTAAGTTGGAATGACTATGCACATTTAGTAATCACAAAAATGCCAGTCTGCATTCAAGAAACGTAGAAATAAACTTTCTTTTACCATGCATGGAGAAAATCGAAGAAGGAATATAAATAGAATAAATAAATAGAAAAAAATAGAAATTATTCGTACAACGTGATTTTATTGCACTTAGTGGTGCTTTAAAAATATCTTGTAGTTATACAAAATGACGTGCTTTGATATCACAAAGATCTAAATCGGAAGCCTTTCAAAATTTTGGATCGTTACACCACTGGACCACTTACCATCCACGCGGATTAGCAACTGGTGACATTTAAAGACATTAAAGATAATCTTTGATATAACTTTTACGCGTGTCGATAGATAGCCGCAATAAGTATTGCCATTCGATAAGACATGAGATCGTAAATTTGTTTTTAAACTGTTACTGTAGCATCATAACAAACTGAATGATTTAAAAGCCATAAACGCATATACCTTCACTGCAAAGTTTTGCTGTCAGTATTCGTCTATGGCAACTTTGTTATGTTCATAATAATTATTTCACTTCTTTTTGTTTCCATATAAAGTCATCAGAGGGACAAATAGGTATTATAATGATATTTATAAATGACGGTGAAATCGCGTTTCCAGTAGCACATATTTTTTAACAAAATCTTGTTACAATTGAAAAGTGAGGAATTAACTTACGGCTTAAAACTGATTATATTCCCTAAATAAAATTTTAAAAAATGTTAACGTTGTAAAACTGAAACAAAACTTTGTTCACTTTGTTGTAAACAAAGTGAATGTTTTAATGATCTGTTTTAGGAAGATACGAAAATTTGCCTAAGATAAAATCTCTGGGAATTGTACGAAAATTTTACTGTAAATATATAGTCAACATACAAAATTTGGTCAATTATGCATTTTGGATTAGAAGAAAGATAATCAATCTGGTCCCTATCGCCCACTAGTGGGCGTGGATTTAAGCTTTCACAGTGGACGGTAGAAGGTTTTGTTGGATGATGAAGATCAAAGAAGATAGAAACACACTCACGCATATACGGATTGTAAACATATATATATATTATATACACACAAGGAAAAGCTTACATCTCTAGTTGTAAGCTTGGATATTTTCCCCACGCGCAGCGCCCTCCATATTATTTATTCCTCGAAGTTTCGTTATTTTCATAACGAACTGTTTCCCTATATTTACACTATGTTTCCCTATATTCGTCATTTTTAATTATATATATATAGATATACGAAAAGATTAATTAAATTAATAAATTTAGCTATAAAATTTTTACTAAGTCGCCCCTCAAAAAATTATTTTGTAGTTGCATTAAATGAAGTTTTGTTTCGAGCCGGTGGGCGGTAAGGAAATTTTACTACCTGCAAAGTGGGCGATAGATGTAAAAAGGTCGACAGTCCTTGGTTTAGAACATAGTATTTCCACACTTCAGAAATATGTTTATTACAGATATTTTATTTATGTTAAAAATGTTTGTGTCTAGGGTCAAAAAATATTTTTCATTCAATTCATGAAATTCATAAATTTATTCTGAGTGCGCGAGGGCAAAAAATGTGCATTTTTTTCTTTAAGAACTCATTGACTTTGTTCAGAAAATGATTTCGTTCCAAAATTATTCAGGAAATTTTAATCTAAAAGTTCTGAATAGAAGAATAAACTATTAAAATAAAAAAATTCAAATATTTTTGATAAACATAACTTTAGTATTCAATTTGTTTTAGTGGCAATATATTTCAGTTTAAATTTTTATATTTAAAATGCTTCACAAACAGTGTTAACTATATTTGTTATTACAAATTAACTATTTTTTGTGACAAATACATTTGCGTTATTTGCCACAAAAAGTCATTAGTTTAAGTATAACATTTTAAAATAAGATGATCGAATTAATATTTCTACAGTTAAACTTTTATTTATTTATTTACTTATTGTTTTCGATTTTATCTTAAATTTACGATATAAATGCCTTTGAAAATCTTAAATACATAAACAGAGTTTTTAAATTATAAATCATGTTCGGATTCATTAACTAATTTAAATCTTAAATTAAATATTATTCTATATGTATAACAATTAATTTTTTATTAGCAAATTTTTACATTAAAATCATCATGACAATTTTTTCTTCTAAGAAAAAAGGGGGAAGTATAACAATAATAATCACTTCTGACATCTTTAAAACTCGTTTCAGTTGAAACAGGTGTAGAGACATTAGGATTTTTTTTTTTTTTTGGAAGCAGAAGTGATGAAAAATGAGCAATGCCTTCGCCGGGAATCGAACCACGGACCTCTCGAATACGCGCTGAGCTTGCTGACCACTACACCCCGAAGCATGCCACGAAAGCGGGAGAAATACCTTATATACTGCTCCTTTTAAAGAGCGACTGGGGATTAGGGGACCCAATCGCCAAATCCTGGTGGTGGAGAATCATCATCCACCATCTTCTTTTTGTTCGGGGGTCACTGTAGAGACATTAGGTATTTTTTGAAAGCAGGAGATGTAAAAAATGAGAAATGCCCTCGCCAGGACTCGAACCACGGACCTCTCGAATACGCGCCGAGCGTGCTGACCATTACACCACGAAGGCATGCTAAGAAGGAGGGAGAAATCCTTACATAATTTACATTTTGTCAATAAAACTAAGCTGAAAAGTAGGATTCGTCATAACACTTTTAACACTTCTTAAAGGCAACAAGATTGTTAATAAAATATTTGCCTTCTGAAAAGCAGGTTCACTTACTTCTAAAAATTATTATTGTGGTTATTTATTTTCCTCAATTAATTATACCCTTGAGTAAAAATAAAATTATAAAACGGAAGTCGTAATTATTATGCATAAACAGCAGTATAGTCATTTTTGATAATCTCCCGATTCATTCAAATAAAATTAAAGAAAATCCTTATGCATTGCATTGCGTTCGTTTAAAATGTTTAAGAATAAAAAAAATTACTAGATTATTAATGCCACAAAGAATTAATATACTAAATAATAAGAAGAAAAGAGAGAGGAAATAAAATTTAAATGCTTTATTCTGCAATTTTGAGGCGTATGAACATAGGTATTTGATGTCTAAATGAAACAAATATAATTTTTATTGAAATCTCTTCTCTTTCTATTATTAAAAGTAATATCAAGAGTAGCTAAAGGTATGTAATGCTGCATCATAATGATGGTCTACAATAGTCTAGGGAAAATATTTACTGACTGTAAAGCATTCAAATCTGATGCTGACTGCAGGGTTACAGATCAACATTGTAATGTTATCCATGTACTATGAATTATAATTCATGACAAATAGATCCACCAGTTTCCAAGTAGATAAACTCGAACATTGCCAGTTCGCTCGGGTTTAGTTTTCGGTGAATGGGCAGGTAATAGAGAATTTTGTGGTTTTCTCCGAATATAAGTAAATATGAACCACTTTCCCTAATTCCTATACGAAGACAGACAGCTTTTACACTCTTTGCCCTAATAATGTAATCAGCTATTTAGGTGAAACTATGACAACATACATTGTTAGTGAAATGATCGTTATATAACAATGTATATAACCTATGTTTATCGTACCTTTCTATATGAATCAGTGCCGTCTTAACCTACGGATACTGCCCATAGTTTAAGGTTAGGTTATTTATGGTAAAGCATACGAGTGCTAGCTGCCGGAGGGTAGGGATGCCATCACGGAGGACATTCTAATGGAATTTTTTTGTATTCATACCGCACATGGGGAAAAAAAACCACAGAAACCCAAAATACAGCCAATCCATTCTCCCGAAATCCCGAGAGCGAACTACCAATACTCGGCGGTTTTAGCCCTTCCGCCATGGATGGAACTGCTCATCCAAATTTAAAGGTCAGTGTTTTGCAAATTTATTATTATTAAGGAAGTTGTAAGCTAGGGTCCTAATGCAAAAGCTTATCCCATGATTTTGAAAAAGCATCTTTGATTATTAATTATGAATATATCATAATTAAATTCAAATATCAAATTTCTGCTTAAAGCGGGAGAAAAAAAAAATGTATGAAAAATCAGTAGATAATTTAGCAATGCTTGTACGTCGATTATTTAAAAAATAAATAATATAAATTTACGAATTTCGACATCGACGGTTAAAAAATAATTTTTCACACGATGTTTTTCAAAACGCCGTGCATTCAGAAACAGATTTTGAACTATATGCTGCGTTGGAACACGTGCTTCCTGCAACTGAACGAATGAACAAAAAGCATAACTTACTTTTCGTGATGGAGAAAAACAACAGGATGGTCAAGGTAGAAAGTCATTCTTTATATAATCCCTTTTTTTTTTTCACTTCACACGGCAAAGAACAATTGACAAGAACTTCAATATAGAGTTCGATGTTTCTGATCTTGGATAACGTGAGAGAAATCCCATCTCTTAATTGGTCGAGTTTCTTCGCCAAATGTCATCGAGCAGAAAATCTACCGACGAAGACTCGGCGACATCTGTTTCGGTTGTGTGTCGGGAGAATTTTCTTTGGGTTTCCGCTCTTACTAGGGGTTGCTGTAAAACAACACCGCCAAGAGCTGAGATGAGCCAAAGTACAAAACATGCTCGCCAAATATCTCAGAACGCTAAGCGGAATTCTTTTCGAAATACAGCAGAAATCAATATTCTGGACTTTGAATCGATTTTTTTTTTATTTCCGATAAAGTAAAATTAATTTGCTATTAGTTTAAAGACGTGCTTTTATTTTTATTTATTTTTAACGTTGATTTAAATAATATAAAAAATAATGCATAATAAAATAAAGTACATATTCTTAAGAAATTATTACATATGAACTTGACCTAAAATGTTCCTTTCAATATATAGTCTATAAACATTAATGAAAAAATGTGATATGGACACCTTCCTTCTACGCCTGTTAAATTACACACATTATTTGCTGCATTTCATTTAAACTTATTTCCTCGAATTAGGCTAACTGAATTAACCGTTTTCTGAAGGTAAGTTGAAAATGACTTCGAAAATTGTTAATTTTGTAATTGAATATCTCCGTCATTTTTGTCGTACGAGAGTCAAAGTTCTTGTATTTTTATTTTTTCATAATGAATATAATTTTTTTCCAAATATAAGTATCGGGACCGGAAGACCGCCTTAAAAATCAGGTTTCATTATTTGTCCAAAACTAATTTTTTCAGATTTTGAAATTGGCAAAACATGAATATTATCATGATTTAAAACATTTTTTGTAAATAGAAGTATATATGTCTACGACCAACAACTGCAAAAATAAGGGCCGGGTAAAGACTTTTTTAAGCCGGGTATGGGGGTGGGTATATATATATGTATACTTTTTGGTATTCTCGATTGCAACAGAAAAGGGAATGCACAACTTAATGTTATGGCAGTCTCATATATACAAAATTTCAATGTTTTACGGCAGATCGTTTTTTGAGTCATGCGAGATGCATGCTTACATAAGTAAGTACAGACATCCTGAAAAAATCCATTTTTAATCCATTTTGCAATCTGTTTTGGAATTGAGAGTCTTTTATTCTGCCCATACGTATGTAAGACGTCACGTAAAGCAATAGTCAAAAGGGACTCAGGAACAGTCAAAATAATGCTTCCGTTGAAATCTAAAATCCGAAATTTTTCGCGATTACTATACTTCGTACAAGGAAATAAAAAATAAAAATAATAATTAAAAAGAATGATTATTTTCCATTTTAATTGATCTTTAAACTGATTATAAACAGTAAGTTCAAAATTTTATAACATGCATTATATTGTTAGCTCTATTAGTTTATGTCAGTAAAATGAATTAGTTTAATTTTAGTTGAGAAAAGGGTCCTATTTTATATCTTACACGAATTTAAAAAAATATTTTGAAGCAGGAATAATAAAAACGAGTTTTACTAAGTTACTTAAACAAGTTACTATATTTCAAAAAACAGAATTTTCCAAATTTTTGATTTTTCTAAATACTTAATGTATCTTGGTAGAAAGAATGCAAAAAATTATCATAATATGTGCTAATATACAAATATTTTTACCTATTCATGATTTTAACATTTACTGAATGAATCATTAGTATGTAGTATTTGCAACCTCTGATTGCCTGCTACTCATCATATTAATAGTATTAGATGATAATGCTATACGACGAACATAATTATAACACTATTTCTAGGCACTGGACTCTATATTCACCTTCCAGTCCCAATCAGATTGGCTTAATTCCAACATACCATATTAACTCGTAAATCAGATTCCCCCATTTTTACTATATTTTTATTAGCCCAAAGGGCGTTATCCCAGAAGGGCTATTAATTTCGTTTTGGCATCTTGCGTAGAAAACTTTAAATGTCCGTTTCACTTTTGAAATTGTTGCCACCAAATATTATCGCCCTGTATTATATTTAACGAAATGAAAATGAAATAATGAAGACTGTGCATAAATTTATGTGTTTCTCGCATTGTGATAAAACAAGGTACCAAGAGCCATCAAATTTTGAATAGAGTAATCCTCTACGGAATATGGACATCTAGAAGCGCTAATTTGAAATTTTTAATTTGCTTTATTATTGATTTCATATTTTGTAACACTTTAACGAATTTTGATTAACAAACTCAACGATTTCAAAGCGAGCCATGGCAGCATTGTGCAAGGAGAAAAATTTTACCTTATTTTTTATTTTTTTAAAATTATTTTGCGATATGGCTGTTGAAGTGAATTTATGTTTAAGTGCGAAGAGCATGATATTTAATAAATATAGGTAACACACAAGACGATATAAAAACGACGCTGTGAGACGTAATGCAAAATTTGAAAGCTTTCAGAGTTTTAAAATTATTTTAACATTTGGTAGATCTTACGAGTGCTTTAATAAAGGAAATTTTAGAATGCTAGAAATGGCTACTATTTCAGAATGTCTACTCAAAATGTATTCCTTATTTCATTTAAGTCGTTGTGGAGAAAAGTGCAAGAGCTTAGATTAATAGCCTTACATAATGATAATGAAACTGTCTGTATGCATGCAAAAGTGTTATTACCATTGAGATCTGTGCCGGAACACGATATGACACAGAGGCGTTCTCACATTTTTAGATGACTTTGCTTTACTATGAAAAAAAATCGCCTGCTAGGAAAAAAAATTTAACTGCTATATTTTTGAAAGAGTAAATTATTGGTCTGCTACTTGACAATTTTGTTTTCATGCATAATGGCGCTTTTAAAGAAGCAGTGGCTGGAAGGCTATATTTGTGCTCTTTCCGAAGAAAATTATTCGTACCTAGTTATTAAAAAAATGCTGTGAAAGCCATTATTTTTCGTTATCTAAAGCAATGATAGATAATATTGTTAGTAAGAAAGAAAAAAAAACTTCAAAGTTTGGCTTCAAGGAGAAAAATTTTTAAATACATATCCAAGGAAAAAACGGAATGTTTCGAATGTTGCAAAGGTAAGAACTTTAATATTAAAAGGAAAATCCGCGAAGTCAAAGGACAGTTGCATAATCATTAAAATGCTAAGTGTCAACTGTAAACAAAGTGATTAATTGTAATTTGAATCTTAAAAAGGCGAAAAAACGTAATGTGCATTCTCTTTCTCCACGACATATCACAGATCTGTATGAAAAACAATTATTCGAACAAAAATGAAAAAAAATTGTCGAAACAGATGAATATTGGGTACATTAAATGGCCGTCATAAACAAGATTAATTTATTATCATATCAAAGAGAAGAAAAAAAGTCTTAAAACCTGGTTCAAAGAATCTAAAAAAAATTTTCCAAAGAGATTTATGCTTATTGGTGGGTTTTCATATAACGGCAAATAAAAATTAAAGAGAGTACAGAAACCTGTTAAGATCAACTCCTCATACTTATTAGGAACATATTTCCTACTCAATTTTCAAATATGAAATATCTTCTCGTTACCCACAGAACCATCAATCAGTAGAACTGCATCAAGACAAAGCAAGCAGCCATATGTCAAAAATCCACTGTTAATTTCCTAGAAAAAAATAGAACAAGAAACGGATATCAAGGCCATACCTTTCATTCATATCCCTACTAAATCTCCTGATGTATCATCCACGGGTGTTTGTGCTTTTGAATTTTTAAAAAGCGAATTGTCCAAACGTCGACCTACAACCCTCCTTGGACTCTAGGAAGCTATTCAAGAGGAATAGGATAAAATACCTCTTTCGATACTAAAGAAGGCTTTATTGTCTTTGAAATTACTGTGTAGTAAGATCGTGAAGAATAAGAGTTATCAAATGGATTAAAAATATTAGGTAAATTATTTCTGTAAATACAATGCAAATGATCGAAAAAACGTGCGAACGGACTTCTATAGAAGTCATCGAAGAATTAGTTTCCCAATCTCCAGCCGAATTATAGATTACTATGAGCTATTATAGATTACTATGGGAGGGCACTTACATTGGGAGAATAAAACAAAATCGTCGAACATCTCCAAGGTTTGAAATGAATGTATGGAATGTTTATGAGCGTGCCATTAATGATCTTCCGAGGACAAATAATTTGGTAGAAGGTTGGCACAAGGCGTTTCAGCAAACTGTAGATTGCCATCATCCATCCGTCTACAAACTCATCTACCATTTTCAAAAAGAAACAAGATATAATGGAAATTCGCGTGAGTAGCCTTAATTCAGGCGTGCGTAATCTAAACGCAAGCAAGGCTAAATATGTACAACTGAATCGCATTGGTAGAGAATTATGAAAAAATGGAACATATGGACTTTCTTCGGAGCATTTCTTATAATCTTGACATATGAGTGACAATAAACACTAATCTCGTTGTTTTTTACTTGCCTTACATGCTTTGCTTTATTTAAGTAAAAAGTATTTAATGCATAGAAAATATTTAATGAATTTTTAGGTACTAAAGTTGGAGTGTGAGTTTTGTCAAATGATATATGCACATATAAAGTCTTTAGAATTAGAACTAGAAAAATATATAGGTCAGCTATATTTAGGCTATTTAGTAATGGGCTATTTTGTCATGAGCTATTTTGTCGTGGGTTAGTTTGCCAGGGTTGTTTTTACCGGTCTTACATGCTTTTATTTAAATGAAAAAGACCAAGTACAGAAAATATTTATTAATTTTTAGATATTAAAGCTAGGATGTGAATCTTGTCAACTGATACCAAAGTCGATATACATACATCAAATTTTCAAGATTAAAACAAGGAAAAAAATCATTTATAAAGGCTATTTTGTAATGGTCTGATTTGCAAATATCTTGTATTTATTTTATTATTAATTAACGATGTAAAGTTAAATTATAATTGAATTTGATTAAATAATTTTCATTTTCTATTTCTTTGCGGATTACACCTGTCACAACTCCCCGTAATGTGAAATCGAATACTTCCGTTAAAAACTGGACACCTGCGCTCAGAGATTTTTTTTTTTTTTTTTTTTTTTTACTCTCTCCTGTTGTTTTTAATATTTTATGCTCAGTTTTCTGTCTGTGAAT